CGGAAGCATCAATGAAATGTCTTGTCTGATCTCTGTCATTCTCACTTGATCCCCTCAAATATCACAGTCTCTCTGTACCTTCCAGCCTGAAGTGGCTCAGGCAGTTTAGCACTCCCCAGTGTGGAACATTCCCTGCACCTGTCACCGTGTTCTTACCGTCCTCTCCCCTCTCTGCAGCTCTCCTGTAAAGAATTTTCAGTGGGACATTCCATCAAACGCTTTTTTGCAAATCCACAGAGACTGGGTCTAATCCATTACCCTTGTCTAAGAAGTGATTCATCCTGTTAAAAGATTTACCTTCAATAAAGCCCTACCTTTGATAAAACCCATTTGTTGCCATGCACTAAGTGCTTTACCTGAAAACTGTCCTAAGATTCCTGGGTCAAGTGGCCTGTATCGCTTTTTTCCCAATCTTCTTTAAATGCAGTGATGTACAGAATCTTTCGATTAAACCTGCATTTTCATGTACCAATTATTTCAACATCCTCAGATGGAGATTATCCAGGCCCCCTGGGTTCAGTTCCTCTAGTGCTGGAAATTTTATCTTTAATATAGAGCTCTACCTCCTCAATTCCTTTTCCCACTCTTTCCTTCCTAACAATTTAGAACCAGCAATTTTTACATTCCAGTCAGGCAAACAAACCTGCCAGGTTTCAGTCATGCCAATTATATTGTATTTCTCATAATCCAGCAAGAATTGCCAATTCCTCTTGCTTTTAATTATACACTCACAAGGTGCTTCTCCTGGTCCCTCTCTGGACAGCCACCTGCAGTGAATCACTGTGATATGCTTATTATCACAGGGGGCTGGGGAGCAGGTGATGCAGAACTCCTCTGGAGCTGAGAAAGGGCATGGCAAGTTCTGGTCTTTATATGTCACAGATTTACTCATTTCTGCAGGATACACCTCTCTCCTTCTCTGCTTCCTTCTCAAGGTGCACTGAATGTCCATAATTATGGCTCATTTTGATGCATCCTAACCTACCATCTAAATTCCATTATCTACCATTTACCCCTTCAAGAGTGCTAAGGAATATTTGGCATAGAGCATACAAAGAGATAGAGGCTCCTTTGCCCTCAAAAATCAATCCAAACCCACAAAACAAGCCACACATACCCATTCCCGCTCTCCTTACTGCTATGGAGTATGGGAGCATGATGGAAAGGCTGTTTGTTTAATGATTAATGCTCTTGAAAGGCAACTGGGCAGCTGCTTTCCCCCTTAGTGGTGTGTGTTAATACTGAGATTGTCTGTTCATTGGCAACTAAATCAAGATCTGAGTTCATGGGTTTTTTCTACAAACATCACAGCAAACACATTATTGAGCAAAACTGTCTGACTTGTTATTGCTTCCCAGCTCTCCAACTCCTCAACCTCTTAGGATACCATTCACCACCTCACCTACTTCATGCGGTAATTTTTTCATGGCATGTGTGTTTTTGAGTCATGGAATCTACCAACTGGTTCAGCACTGCTGCTGTTGGTGCATCACTGGTCTGGGATCCCGTGAGGTGCCCTGTCCTGCCCAAGCAACAGCCCCAGACTGCAGGGGTGCAGTGAGATACACAGCCAAAGTCACACTCAAAAAGAAATTAAATGATAGTGAGCTTGGCTCTGACACATCTGGTCATGGCCAAGGAATTCAGAGCCAGGAGGAGGCCCCAGGTGCAGTGTGGGAGGGCAGAACAGGGCTCATGGCCAGCAGAGCTCGTAGGATGTGCTCCCAGCTTAGATGTGTTTCTCCTGCAGAAGGTACCTCCACCTGTGAGCATCCAAAGCACTAAACTCACTCTGAAAGGGGAAGCCTTGTCCTCTTTTTGGTAGACACGGATTCAGCACACTTTTGAGTCAGATATTTTACTAAATAATTACAGGACTCCCCCCCCAATGAAATATGAGTGCTCCAGTCCCTCTATTCCCAGAGGAGATTCACAATTACATTTCTCAGGTACTAAATGCTTTTTGAATTCTTTAGCTGTCCTAGACATGCTGGATAAAAATAAACTCTAGATTCACAAATTATTTCAGAAATAATCACAGCATTCAATCTCTGTTAGAGCTGTCAGTGGAAACTAGAAACTGGCAACAAGAGGAAGGCACGCTCCGCTGGGCTCTGCACAAAGTGGATGACATGCTGTTCGCACCTCAGCCTCTGGAATCTAAATGCACATTGCAGATGATAAACAAGGGAAAGGAGAAGACACTCAAAAATTGGTTTGCTTGCAGCTTAAATGTAATTTTAAGCCGTGACTGAGTCCCAGCCCCTCCAGCCAGCTGGAAGCCCTGGAGTCCTGTTCCTGGAGTTCCTGCAGCATCAACCTGCTGGGAACTGGTCCTGTTGTGCTGGCACTTCAAGATCTTCTGTGTTGCATCTGCACCAGTGCAGGGAGCAGAAAGTTTAGATGGTGTGACTGGAGGGAGAGAGAAATCAAAAGCCTGGTGGCTGAGTGAAGAATGTGGCTCACAGCTGGGAAACTTTGGAGGCTCTGGGTAGTTTTGACAGCATCACCATCACAGGGAGAGTTACTGGCATTCACGTGTGCCTGGTGGGATTCACGTTGCTCAACTTCAGACATCAGTGACTCAGTGAGGAACCAGGGGTAGGATGGGAGCTGTGGGAATGGTGCTGACCATAGACTGTGGCCATATGTTCCACTGACAGAGGTGTGAGGCTGTGAGTGACTGCTGAAAGGACTTTGCCTGGAGGAAGGCTGCTGTGCAGTCACTCTCAGTATGCTTTGGGTAAAGCTCTAAGAGAGATGCTACTGACAGTCTACAGTGCATTCAAGCTGGGGATTTTGGCTAATTGAATACACTGCTATTTAATATAAGTAATACTATTTAATACACACCTGGTGAATGTATTACCTGTGATACCCACAGCACTGGGGTCAGTAAGGGTGCTGTGGATGGTGTGATGAGCCCATGAGATGGACAGATATATTGAGTGGGGTGGCTGTACATACAAGCATGACCACTGTGCTGTTGGATTGGGGCTGGGTGGTGCCTCAGATAAAATGATCACCAGTCAGGCTGCAAAAGGCCATGACAACATCCTGACAGTCTGGTATTGCAAACCTGTAACTCTGAATGAAAACCTGTCAGTTATTTTATGTTGATGCTGTTAGGGACAAATTTAGACTCGTGTCCATTACATTGTTCCTGTTCTTACCAGAAAAAAAATGTCGTAAATCTGAATGAGGCAGCTGTCTGTCTAAGGCAATATATCCCTGTGCCTGTCTAGATTATTTGCTAAGGTTTGTCCCTCCTGGTCTTCTAACTCAAGAGTACTTTCCTCCAAGTTAGTGTTTCAAATAAGAGGAGACACACATATGGCTGCTGTGGTGGTGTGGGGAGGGAGAAACAACCCCTTCTCTCCTGCTTTCACCATAACTTTCTAAAGCTGGCTTCCAGCTCTCTCCTGAAATCACCCACTCCAGCACAGCTTTGTTTACCCAGTACAGAATAGATCACTGTATTTCTCTTCTCCCACAGATAACTCACTTTTCTGAGTGGGCTAGAGTCACACAGTTACAACTTATCTCACACATACATCTTGACTTGGAAAGATTTCAATATCTGCTAGAAGTATGGGCATGTTTGATTGTGCCAATCCCAGCTAAGATGCTCAAAAAGCCAGAGAGTCTTAAGCTGCTCACTCAGACTGCTGTGGCCTAAGTTGATTCCCAAATAAGTAAGATAAATCATCCTTTGTCTGTGTTGGTTGGTTGGTTTTTTTTTCTAACATCAAGAGGGTTGCTTTGCTGCCCTCATTTCAGCATGGAGCTGTTTATTGACAGACTCAGGGCTGGAGTTCATGAACTTTCCTTTTCTTATATTAAATTGAGATTTACTGACCAGCTAATTCTTGAAGCACTATCCTCAAAAACACCAGGGAGAATATGTAATACCCAGCCTTGTGGGATGGAGTGGGCTGTGAGCACCTCCCCAAATTTTCCCCACTTTATAGTATATCCCTACAGAGCAGTTTTACCAGGATCTCATAAACTTCCCATCACCAGAGAGGCTGTGTCCTCTGAGATGTAGGATATTAACTGTTCCTCTCTCCCAGCAGTGGTGAAGAACCAACTCCCCAGTCTGCTCCTTGGGCAATGGCAGGATAGGATGGAGACAGCCCAGCAAGGAACCATCATCTCATATTATGTCCCATTCGTAAACTTTATTTTTCAGTCACATAATCTAGAAAAGAGCTCTTTCTGAAGCAGAGTTTGGATGTTTGCTCTACCAGACAGCTCTGGGTGTAGGGACTATCAGTTTGCATCTGCTGAGACTTACATGGGTCCCGTGCCTGCCATCCACCCTCCAGTGTTTTATTTCTTGGTAAGTGCCAGGGTACAGCGGAGCAAATAAACGCACTGATAAGCAGGAGAGATGTCTTTTTGAGTGGTTCTCAGTAAGTAAACGGCTGAGCAGGGAACAGAAAGGAGCTTTCTTGTGCCCAGTTGTGCCCTTTCACTGCCATTTCTCTACTTCAATAAAACACACCATCCAGGAAGGGCTTGCGGGTGGTCACCTCCTTCAGGGATACCAGCAAAGAGGCAGTTTATGCTACGGCGCGATAAAAGCTGTGACCTTTGTGCTTTCCCTGCCGTTCAGACCACTGACCTCGGGGCGATTAGATGTCAGAACCCCCTTAAGAACTCCCGGGCGCTGCCTTCTGTGCGCTCCATGGAGCAGCTCGAAGGGAAGCGCTGGCCGGTCCCCGGCTGCAGTGCCCGTGAGGGGAGCACACACCGATGCTCAGGGGCTCAGCGGGCTGGAGGGCACAGACCCTGCACCAACCAGCAGGTAAACAAGCAAAAAATCCTTGCTCTCACTGGAAACAGGTTGCTTTTCAACAAAGAACTGTTAACATCCTGCCTGTCTCTCTCTGCAGGGCGAATCTGCTCTGAGACACAGCACAGAACAGCCTGTGTGTTTATCGCACTGAGGCAAACACAGAGCTACACAAGCTGCAAGGAAGTTGTTTTATACTTACCAGCAGCATTGATATTTTCCTCACAGGAGTACCAGATCCCGGTGTGGAAATACCTGAAAAGGAAGCGGTCATCTCCCGTCTCCCAGCTGTAATGAACCACATTTTGGTTCGTCTCATTTGCAGTCTCATTCCCTCCGTAGTTGAGGCAGTTTGTCTTCTTCTCTTTCCCACAGCTCGGCTTGGGGACCCTCTGTGTGCCCTCACACCAGTGGGTCGTGATAAAAGCTGTTGTAGAGAAGAGGAGAGCCATCAGATTCAGACTCACTGCTAGCAGGGCTCTGCATCTTCGATTTGTCTTCATGGTAAATCCGCCCTCCCTCCCCCTCCTGCTGAGAGAAGAAGTCAAAGGGGTTTGTTTTATTTGGGAGAGGGGGGGGTTTCAAAGCCTCTCACGATTCAGAATCCGGTTGTCCAGGCACCAAAACTCTCAGCTTCTTCCAGTCTGCTGTTGTAGCGGTGAAGGAAACGCTGCAGCCAGACTCCCATTCTTCCCCTCACTTGAAATCCTGCCTTTGTACGTTAAAGGAGCAGCTGCAGGAGCGGGAGCGTGGCCGTCCTCTTGGAGCCGGGGAGCTTCAGAGCGCTGAGGGGATCGCAGAGGGTCTGCCTCGCACAGAGCACCGGGAGCAAGTGAACATCTGCTCGGGTACCACACATGATCCCAAGGGGCTCCGCAGCCTCCTCCGCCGGGAGACACCTGCAGGCTGCGAGACTCGCTGTCCTCCGCTCCCGTAGGATGGGCAGGGGAACTCAGCGGGCGGCAGGGACAGGGACAGCTGCTGGTGCTGCTGCTGCTGCCGCCGCCGCCGTCCTCGGCAGACCTCGGCGACCACTGCAGCACACGGGCGGCTCAGCCGGACTGGGGGGAGGCGTCACGGCTCAGTCCCAACAAGAATTATTATGTGGAGCGGTGAAATGCATTTTTCATACACCAGAGGATAGAGATTCGTTCAGGAGGAGGAGGAGGGATCGAGTGGTACTTCAGCATTTCTGCTCTGAGCTAGGGAGTAGTAAATCCGGGGTTTGATTCTGGCATCAGCACGCTGGTGTAAATCTCTCTCTTCAAGGGCTTTCTCTGGCACTCAGCAAAGCCCTGGAGGAATTTAGATTTGAGTGTTTGATGAGTGAAACCCACATCTTCCACAATACCAAGTGGAGCCCCTTTCTCAGCCTTTAATTTCCAGACAGAGCACACACAGCAGTTCTGCTTGAAGTGGGTCCATAGGAAATTTTGTTGGTCCTGGTTTGTGCAGATGGAGAGAGATAATTAGAGCAAACCCTGGCCTTTACTCACCAGATGACAATGCTGTGAGAGCAGGGAGTGCTACCTAATATCCCATTTCCAAAGAGAAGTGTATTGCTCTTTCGTGATGGTTGTCTGGGTTGTAGAGTTCCTGACCCTTCTCCACATTGCTCAGAGCTGTCTGGTGAACACCAAGTGCCACAAGGAGCAGGGCACCTGATGGTGGTGAAGGGACAATCCCTAAGACCCTGTGTCCAAGCACTGAGGTTGGCCACACTTGTCATATAGCAGTTGTGTGTCCTGGGTAGATGAATGCAATTTTCTGTGGTGAAGAAACTACATGTGCCTCCTGGGCTTTGGACTGAGTGGTATTTCCTTCCAGCCTTGTTTGGACTCCCTGCAAAGGCCTTGGGAACGGTTGTGGCCCCTCAGAGCAGTCCAGCAAAGCCTGGAAATAACCATGCAGCCACTAACAGAGTGACAGTGCTCCCATCTCACACCCTGCACTCTGTTAAGGCAGCACATGGACTCCACATCCAAAGCTCCTCCTGTGCTTTGCTGCCTGCCCACATGACATGTGGTGGCACTTTCTCCAGCTCCTTGAAGAAAGCCAGGAAGGACAAGGTGAAATTTCTCCCTGAAGCCACTACACAAGGCTTCAGGGACCTGTTTCTGACTCCCTGATGCCCCTCACAGATGGCCACAGGACTCTGTTATGGCTCTTGTTGGTGCTTGTTCTGGACGTCTGGACCCAACTGTTGATGAGATTTTCCACTATTTATACACACTTACCTGGTTGTAATCACTTTGTGTTGTAAACAAGCTGGAAAGTTGCTAGAAAACTTTCATGAGAGAACTCACATGGCTCTGTGAGAACAATTGTGATGGCAACATTGCAAGGTTAGTGAAATAGCTTTGTGCTGCAGAACCTTCCCTACCTAAGAGCCTTCATTTTGCTCTTCCTGCCTGTACGTGGTGACAGCCACCTCCTCAGTGCCAGGTTTTTTGCAGTGGTCTGCACTAGCAGGGTGCCTCTGCACAGTCTTGTCCTGTCGGAATTGCATGTCACCTCTCCCTGTTCCAGTCCTTTCAGCATGACATCCTGCAGCCAAATGATCAGCATTATTTCCTTGGGTTTAATTACATGCAAGAAATACAGAGGATAGCTATTTAGAGGAGCACAGGATTATTACTTCAATTATTTTTATGTTGCAGGACATTCACTCAGTAAATGCATTTGTATGGTCTGTGTTTCTCAGGGTGATCCAGTTGCTTAGAGGAATAAACAAAGCACTTGAAACTTTGACAGAAACCTTCACAAGGAAGCTGGTGCTGTTCTTCAGGATTGTCTTTCAAGTGGCTGTCTGCATCTGAATCATCACACTTCTCTAAGTGTGAATACAGGTCTTTACAGCTCTTTTCTCACAAATTTTCTCTTTCTGTTGCCCCTGTGGATCGTGTTTTCTGGCTGCAGCACCAACATCTGCACACTCTGCTTCTCCCTGTGCCCATTTTCCAGAGGGGTGGGCATCCAAGAGTTTTGTTATCTGTGGAAATTTTGTCCTAAATACTTCTTACATTTTGTTTTTACTCCTAATCCTAATAGATATTTCTGTTTCTGTTACTCCTTATCTTCTCCATTCTTCTTTTTCAGGCTGGCAGAGCTGTTGAGAACAGAGATAGTGGCAGTATATTTAAAACAAACAAACAAACAAAAGACAAAATAAAGAAGAAATTTGGTCTCTGTTGTGATACAGAGCTTTTAGAATATTAAACATTTTAAAATATTGTGCACAAAGTAAAATATGTTCATTTTTAATATGAATAGTTTTCTGTTTCCTGAAGGAAGTCAAGGATTTTTTTTCATTATTAGACTCCTTTGGCTGCATAAGTTGGGATTACTTGAAAAGAAGCAAACTAGTCTGTGCTATACTCATGCTGTAATACTCCAGTGCCTTCTTTTTATATAATCTCTGTTTATCAGATTTGTTGTGTATAAAAATGGAAAGATCATGCATATGTTGCAGAAGGCAGTTTGGATTCCTGGATTAAGTTGTATTTATGTGGTATTATCTTTAATAATACAGTGGAAGGGTTTGAATGCTATAGAGAAGTAGTTTTCATGTTGTGGCTATGAGAATCTTTAAAAACCTTTCTGCAGCTACAGCTTTTCTCCTATGCTGTGAAAAAACCCTGCCTTTACAGGTTATAGCTAAACCCCTTCTCCTTTACTATTTCCTACAGGATCACTGTAAATTGTTATTACCCGGTATTTACTCGCATTCTAAAAGAATTCGACCCAGGGGATTTAAAATAATGATAGCATTTGCAAAGGAATCTTTCAAACAGGCTGTGTTTTTCACTTGGTGGGAAACAGAAGCACCATTCACTGAAATGAGAGGAAGCCCTACTTTTGGGTCCTCTGCTATGATGGGGGCATGGTGAGCTTAGTCTGGTTGTTTATTTGAAACCAGCAGCGTCAGCTGTGTGGGATTATATGCTGGGTTTAAATCAACATTTTAAAAACCCTATAGCTTTTCTTTAAATTTTCATTTCTTACAGATCTGCCCTCCTGGGCTTCCTCATATGGATTATATTGTCCTTTCCAGCTGTCACTGGATTTGGCTTCCCAGCCCCTCCTGCCACCTTGGGCTGGACCCCTCCTGACAGCCCATCTTTGCTTTTCCTCAGCACCACAGAGCCACAGAATCCACTTGCTCAATTCATTTGTCTTGCAAATGCTTCAAAATCTCCTTTTCTAGCCAGAATTTCCCTCCTTGGACACAGAGAGCTGCATAGCTCATCTTCTTCTTGTTCTCTTACCACGGTAAATATGAATTATTGGTGTACCCCCAATATACTTCCCCTCTCCCTACTCTGTCCAGCAAAATGTCAAGTTTGACTTTTATTTTCAGAGAAGAGGGATGGGATGGAAATGCTCCATATAATTCCCCCAGTTCTATATTAGTCAACTTTACATAGTTTGTCTTCTCTCCACTGAGTGCAGGCTCCCTTGTGCTGTTTTCACCTTGGGTTTTAGGGTTTTTTTTCTCAGAAGTCTGACCCAAAGTAGTCTGTGTTCAATACTCTGAGCACACAGGCTGAGCTGTATAATCCTGTTCCTCTCAGAGGTGCTGCTGAGAGACATTAGTACTGATTTTTTTACAGAAATTAAGCCCTCAGCAAACGGGCAGTCCCACTAGGGTACGTGTGAAGGTGGGCTGAATATTGATACCATATGAAATCCTGGTCTTCAGTTTAATTTATGACTTGAAGTGTGTCTTTCGTGTACTTTTGCTTGTGGGCATTTAGTCAAGGACAAGAAGATCACTCAGGAAATTCTTCCTGTTCCTAAACAAACCAGGCAAAAAATGATTTGTGACAGTACTGTGGCAAAGACCTTTAGCAGTCTCGACAGAAAGGAAAGCAGTAAAACAAACTGTTGGTTCTCCTGTATGATTTCCCCACAACAATTCCCTTGGCCCAGTGTTCCTGGTCATCAGACAGGACATCTCTAAGTGCCCACCTCAGAGTGTCTGGTGTGCATGTTTTGAGTGGTCAGCATTGCTCATCCTTGCCTGGACACCACAGGACGGTGCCACTCCAGCCCTGCTGTAACAACCAGGGTCTTTGCAGCTCTCTGATTTGCAACCTGTCCCAAACAGCATCAGATTAATCATCCAGCACTGCTCTCTGTGTAAAAACGGGGTGGGACTGGGATGCTAACAGATTTGTACTTATCTGCTATCTGCATTTAATTCTTCCAGCAGCTGGTGGAGAGGAAAGGGAGATGAAAAGAAGTGACAGGTCTGAGTCATGTTGTGATTCGTGTCTCGGAGAGCTGACTGGTGAGTTGCCTCCAAAGACAGTCCAAAAGGTCATGGCTGAGCAAGCAAGATATTCCTGAGGCTGTTCCCAATAGGCCATTTATGTGTGTCCACCTCTGCTGGGAGCGAACAAAATGTAGTGTTTATCCTACTTTTAGAATTAGAAATTTTTCTGTCTCGCAGTTACAAGAATAATTTCCTCACAATCGACTGTTGGATTGGATTAAGATGGAAGTTTAATTAATATTTAGCACTTTTTGTTGAGGTTATCCTTGCTCTGATATGTCTAAGTTATTACAAGAAGTTACAGCCCCAGTTAAGAAGAACACTAGAAGCAGAACCCACATTCTTTATTGCTACAGTTAAAGAAGCATTCTTGCACATCAAAGCCCTGTGAGTTATTCAATATTCTTAGGCACCCTGGCCTGGCAAAATTGCAGCTCTAGAGCAAAGGTGGCCACAATAAACAGGGCAATGCTGAGAAATGTCAAAGGGTTCATTACCCAAACATGCTCTTTTATAACCCAGGCATCTGATTTCCATATTCATATAAAGTTATATATTGTTCTATCCCACTGTGCCTTTGGAGGTGCCTAATCCACTAACTACAGATGAATTCATTTATATTACTTCCTCGTCGGGGGTTTTTTAAAGGCATTTTTTTTCCCTAATATTATCAATATATTTTTAGGGACAGCAGCTAGAACATTTAAATGTTTGTAGTTTTCAGTTTCTGCCTGGCAAAGGAGTAAACTGTGCACATTTGGTGTCATTTATATGAAGAATAATGTTGCTTATTTGTATGTCCATGTACTTTATTCCCATAATTAGGACTCATCCATATGTCCAGGCATTTAAAGTGGTAGAATATGATGTGCAATGAGATTTTAGTTCAGAAAGGGGTGACCAAGCAGATTTGTTTGAGCAAACTGTGTACCCTGCAGTTCATGTTTCTGTGTATCTGCAGAAATTGTGCCCTGTGCAAAATGCAGGGAGGGCTTTTGGAGGGGCCCAGTATGACTTGTACAGAATGAATGCACATCCTGTCTGGAGGCATATTCCAAGCCAAGGGATCAAGAGCCTGTGCTCCTGATCTCCAGCAGAGCTCTGGCTTAGAGACAGAGGGACACAGGGTAGTGATGCTGAAGGTGACTGCAAAGTTTGGCTACCACA